GTTCTAACATCCCACCAAGCCGTTTCCCACAGGGGGGTCCGGAACACCCCGATCCGCACTTCGATCAGATTTCGAGAAAACACCTGTCATTTTTCAAAATCGCTTTACGCCCAAAATTTTTTCACTGATATCCGGTCAACTTAATGTGTTCTAATAGCCCATGATAGTCGATCGCTCGAGCGGGGTCCGGAACATACTTTTTCAGAGTTAGGGTGAGTTTACATGGCGTTCGCGCTAAAAAAATTATATTTCAAAAAAATTGGCTTACGCCCAAAATTTTTTTGTGCGAATCGTGTTTATTTAACATGTTCTAACATCCCACCAAGACGTTTCCCACAGGGGGGTCCGGAACACCCCGATCCGCACTTCGATCAGATTTCGAGAAAACACCTGTCATTTTTCAAAATCGCTTTACGCCCAAAATTTTTTCACTGATATCCGGTCAACTTAATGTGTTCTAATAGCCCATGATAGTCGATCGCTCGAGCGGGGTCCGGAACATACTTTTTCAGAGTTAGGGTGAGTTTACATGGCGTTCGCGCTAAAAAAATTATATTTCAAAAAAATTGGCTTACGCCCAAAATTTTTTTGTGTGAATCGTATTTATTTAACATGTTCTAACATCCCACCAAGCCGTTTCCCCCAGGGGGGTCCGGAACACCCCGATCCGCACTTCGATCAGATTCGAAAAAACACCTGTCATTTTTCAAAATCGCTTTACGCCCAAAATTTTTTCACTGATATCCGGTCAACTTAACGTGTTCTAACAGCCCATGATAGTCGATCGCTCGAGCGGGGTCCGGAACATACTTTTTCAGAGTTAGGGTGGGTTTACATGGCGTTCGCGATAAAAAAAATATATTTCAAAAAAATTGGCTTACGCCCAAAATTTTTTTGTGCGAATCGTGTTTATTTAACATGTTCTAACATCCCACCAAGCCGTTTCCCCCAGGGGGGTCCGGAACACCCCGATCCGCACTTCGATCAGATTTCGAGAAAACACCTGTCATTTTTCAAAATCGCTTTACGCCCAAAATTTTTTCACTGATATCCGGTCAACTTAAGGTGTTCTAACAGCCCATGATAGTCGATCGCTCGAGCGGGGTCCGGAACATACTTTTTCAGAGTTAGGGTGAGTATACATGGCGTTCGCGCTAAAAAAATATATTTCAAAAAAATTGGCTTACGCCCAAAATTTTTTTGTGCAAATCGTGTTTATTTAACATGTTCTAACATCCCACCAAGCCGTTTCCCCCAGGGGGGTCCGGAACACCCCGATCCGCACTTCGATCAGAATTCGAGAAAACACCTGTCATTTTTCAAAATCGCTTTACGCCCAAAATTTTTTCACTGATATCCGATCAACTTAACGGTGTTCTAATAGCCCATGATAGTCGATCGCTCGAGCGGAGGTCCGGAACATACTTTTTTAGAGGTTAGGGTGAGTTTACATGGCGTTCGCGCTAAAAAAAATATATTTCAAAAAAATTGGCTTACGCCCAACATTTTTTTGTGCGAATCGTGTTTATTTAACATGTTCTAACATCCCACCAAGCCGTTTCCCCCAGGGGGTCCGGAACACCCCGATCCGCACTTCGATCAGATTTCGAGAAAACACCTGTCATTTTTCAAAATCGCTTTACGCCCAAAATTTTTTCACTGATATCCGGTCAGCTTAACGTGTTCTACAGTCCCATGATAGTCGATCGCTCGAGCGGAGGTCCGGAACATACTTTTTCAGAGTTAGGGTGGGTTTACATGGCGTTCGCGCTAAAAAAAATTATATTTCAAAAAAATTGGCTTACGCCCAAAATTTTTTTGTGCGAATCGTGTTTATTTAACATGTTCTAACATCCCACCAAGCCGTTTCCCCCAGGGGGGTCCGGAACACCCCCGTCCGCACTTCGATCAGAAATCGATCAAACACCTGTCATTTTTCAAAATCGCTTTACGCCCAAAATTTTTTACTGATATCCGGTCAACTTAACGTGTTCTAATAGCCCATGATAGTCGATCGCTCGAGCGGGGTCCGGAACATAATTTTTTAGGGTTAGGGTGGGTTTACGTGGCGTTCTCACAAAAAAAAATTATATTTCTAATAATTGACCAATGTTTTTTACAGTGCTCCAGTGGATGACCACTGCCCGCACCAGTGGCCATTTATATACCTTATTGAAGGCGATACTCAATACATTTTTAAAAACAAAGATATAGAGCATATGTTTTGTTGCGATGTGATCAGTTCGGCAATAGGAATTGTCGACTGATGACATCTCAGGTCGATACTGTAGTTATTAACAGTTATAAACAGACCCTGTTGCTTCAAAATGTATAATTGCTCCTCTAGGTGGAACTATGTTAACTGGCATTCGGTATAGAGGAGAACTGCTAGCGACATATCGCAAATAAGGGTCAAGCTGGTTATGCTGCTTAATGCAATATTGAAACAAATCGGATAAGTCCCGCGAACTGAGCAGCAGTCTGTTCCCGCGTTTTGTTTCGGATGCAATTTTGTGGTAGGTGGTAAATTGGGAAATGTCTTGCGGATGCCCATCTTTGAGCAGTTCTTTGTCGGTTTTAGATATCACCTCTAGTTGGTAATCGCGGGCACTACGATATTTAAGCCAGTTGTTTATTCTCTGAACCCCTTGCTTGTTGAAACTGCACATCATCACCAGCCCGACCAATATCGGACGCAGAAAATTTGAAATACTGAGTCGAGTACATTTGGCATATATATAGCACAATTGTTCCGATTGCGCCTAAAAGAATATAATGCCAAAAAACACGCATATTTTAACGATCTCCCTGTCATTTTTTATTTCAGTTGATAGAATAGTGAAATTGTCGATTTCGGCCGGGTACTGCTTACCTTTTGTTATTTTCGATTAAATATAACCGTTAATAGCCACCATGCTCGCACATGAAATTTTGATATGCCTAGGCACTAGTTCACTTCATCCACCAACTTCACGATATCACATATCACACGTGCAACACTCACTTTTTCGCGAAATTCGTTTGCAGACATTGCAGTATTTTGAAGAAATACTGTAACCCGAGATGCCCAACGACACAAACACAACTAAATTATGCCAATAAAAATTTACCTATATGTATCCTTGTTTTACAACCTATACCTGTACGTATCCTTTTTGCTTACAACCTGAGGATTACATAAAATTCCGTTACAATTGTCTATATTACCCCGACATTCCTGCAAACAGCCCAACGGCACGTATTTACTACCTGCATCCGGTATCTTTGCTGGGGACACAAAGTGATTACATTAGTATTAGATTTTGATGTGGGATTCTAAATCGGCGACCTGGTCCCGGTTTTCGACAAACATATGTATACACGGATTTGAAAAATAATCATACTAATGAGGTTCTCTCAGCTAATGATAAGGCCATGTAAAGAAACTGATAATTTCATCTCACCGTAATCAATACCTGTTCAATATTGATTAAGTGTACATTCTGCGACTTACACGGATACACCTATTAAAATCGCTTTTATTTCACTATATTGTTACATTCTGTATTACAAATACACAAAACCAATATTGTATAGTTTATTTCAATAACATTCACATCCGCCTGAGGTGATCATGAGCTATCAGAACACATTAAGTTGACCGGATATCAGTAAAAAAATTTTGGGCGTAAAGCGATTTTGAAAAATGACAGGTGTTTTTTCGAATTCTGATCGAAGTGCGGATCGGGGTGTTCCGGACCCCCCTGGGGGAAACGGCTTGGTGGGATGTTAGAACATGTTAAATAAACACGATTCGCACAAAAAAATTTTGGGCGTAAGCCAATTTTTTTGAAATATAATTTTTTTAGCGCGAACGGCATGTAAACCCACCCTAACCCTGAAAAAGTATGTTCCGGACCCCGCTCGAGCAAACGACTACCATGGGCTGTTAGAACACGTTAAGTTGACCAGATATCCGCGAAAAAATTTTGGGCGTAAGGTGATTTTCAACAATTACGGGTTTCCGATCTGATTCAACATAGTAATTTTTATATCTATATATTTTTTTGGAGGTAAACCACGAGTTAATGCCATGTCCACTCAAGGACACTTGAGGTATGTTTGTCTTATGCGATTAAGGCAAAAACCGCATTTTTTCATTATAATTTTCACGAAGTAATAACTTTTTCGCGTTACTCACAACTTTGGGGATGTTTTTGGGGAAGGGGGGCTAGACTTCAATGACACATAAAAACACATAAAATAAACGATACTGCATGAAAACCGCATTGATTTACGCACATTTAAAGCCAAAAGACGTGGTTGTACGTTGAAATGACAAATTTTGTGCACTGCTGCCTTTATAACGTTTTCGATCGCGCTCGATCGATCGGTTCTTCAGCCAGATCATGGGTTGACATTTGATATTCAGAACCACATAGAAACCTCCACTTGTGCAAGGTTGTTATTGGTCTTAACTGTCAGTAAAAGTGATGTCACGAGTGGATAGTTTGTGACGTCATTATTTGACAGCTGTTACAAACTGCGTCGCGTAAAATGACAAAGCTAAAACCAAACACTACCGGTTATGATTGGTAGATTGCTTATAAAAATGCTCAAATTTGACAGCCAGTCAGTTCGTCATTTTCAAAGATGGGGTTATAGAGTACCCACTAGGGGTTTCAAAATGAGGTACACACGATCACCTTTTCAGTTTGAAAATGTTCCAAAATGTCTCCCAGTTACAATGATCAGTTACCCTTTGGTTAAAATTTGTTGGATATCGATTCAGTACTTCCCAAAATATTCCACAATCTCTAGATTGGATGCAGTCCGGGTATTTGGAAGTTACAGTGAGAAATGCTAGGGGGATAATATACAACAAAAATATAACATTGCATTAGGATTTGAAAATGTAGAGTTGTTTCCCATAAGTTGGCAAATCTGGCAACAACGCGTATATTATCATATGATCGCGGAAGATCATCTTCAGAATTTTATTAATTTAAGTCGACTGCTTTTCAAGATATGTGACCATTTCTGGACATTAGAATAACCGTCGATACAGTGTATTTATTCAGTGCAGTATTTTTGCCGTTATGAATAGAAAAAGATATTTGGAAAGCAATATTCACCTTACTATCAAAAATGAACATGTATACAGAAATGGTGACTATATGTCCAATGGAAGACAATCCTCCTGCTAGCATGCACCACCGCAGAGGAAGCGGCAACATCGCATACTGCACGAAAATCGTGAATAAAACGTACCATACCAAGTCTTCTTTATCTGAAAATCCTACAGCACGTCCACCAAGACCTACAAAAAAACAGATTGGACATTTTTATCCTATTTATTTACGTATTTACAATAGATGGAAAAAAATTGGTTTATAGTACAGTACCAGAAGATGCTATTCTTTTTTAACATAGCATAGCTAATGAAATGTATCTGAAGTATAATTTTTAAACATAGACAAGCATTCTGCTTTAGATTGTTAGTAGTCTAAAACTAACTTATAGGGTAACAAACAAACAAGCAAAAGTTACGTGCACAGCTGCCGTTAAGTGCAAAAAACGCGAAAATCAGGTATCGTCATTATAATAAGGCACGAGAATTAAAACATATTTCGATGATAAAATACAGTGCGTTATGATAAATACGGAAAATCTAAAATTTTTCTTTTACAGTATCTTGCATTTTTTCGATCACTTTAAATTACACACAGATACTGTGTTTTAATTTATAATCAAAGCAATGGTGCTAACAGATACTATAAGACATACATACACTCAATCACATCGAATTCATAATATTTTTAATTACGTGTCGTCGGTCATTTAGTATATTTGGTTACTGTAAAATTTTTTAAGGGTTTCATATACTAAAGATTATACAGGGTGTAAAGTTAGTAGTGGATCAACGGAAGTCAGGAGATAGAAGTCCTCAAAACCTATACATATGTGTGGTCCGAAATTTTATAGTTCAGGAGATATTTGCAATTTGAAATCTCTAAAAAAAACGGGATAATGAACTTTCAATCACAAATATAACTGAACCATTAGGTTTAGGGCTGTGATTTTTTTTCTGAGATGAGCTAAATGGTTAGTTTTAGCAATGCTTATGTTATTTTTTAACAGAGATTATTAGAAATCAACGCAAAAAATCTTAAATTCATTTTTTTGTGAAAAATCTCATTCATTCCTCAACTTTGGAGGGCGTTAAAAAATTGAGGTATTTTATTATTCATTTTATTCTAAAAACTATTTCAATCCATGTGGAATTGAATCGGTCATTTTAAAAACCACTTAAGGCCGTTTTTACAAGCTTTTGCTTGACTTGACCTATCACCCCTTAACAGGAATACGTGACATTATATATATATATATATATAAATTGAATAATGATATTAAACAGTGTCCGAATTTAAAAATGTGTAAGGCGAAATTAAAAAAATCACCTTATGGATATTCAAAATACATAGTGATGAAATTTTGATTGACAAGAATGCAAAATTACAAAAAATGGATTGAAGAAAAATGAGCAAGCGAATAATTATACAAATTGACTTTGTAGCATTAATGCTAAATAAACCTTCAGCAAACAAACAAACTCACTTGCTTACCGCCTGTAGCCTACCCTGGTCATTCCCATAATTAAGCCCCGTCCTTCCCCGCTCGATTATTAAAACCACATCTGCCGAATAGGAATAAACTTTACTGACGCGCTTCCTACCCCTTCGGCCCTTGTCAAAATTTGATTGACAGTACTAGTCCCCATATCAAGGGCTGCCACGTACTGAAAGTTTGAGAGCTTTCGTGGAAATTTGAAATATAGAGATTGGTAGCAATTTTTGGAAGGGTATGTCATCTAAAGGTAGATTCGCTGGATTATGAAACTTTCGAGCCGGTTATAACTACGACTAGTAGTCTACTGTCAGATAATGAAAGTGTCAAAAGCTGTTCTTGCGTGACTTAATAGGTAACATTATATCGATTTTTAATGACATCACGTAGATTTTTCCGAATAAATGTCACCTTGGTACTAGCTGTCATTCACTTCGTGTTCACTTGTAGTAGCTACACGTGTTGCCTTAACGTCATTACACTATTGGTTTGGCTCTGATGTGTCTTAACGTCTGCTTCAGAGATGGTACTGGCGGATACCATTTACAGCATTTGTGACCAAAGCTGTTTGTTCTGTTCTATTGCCGGAATGTAATCGCGAAAAAAATCGAAAGTGAGATGTTATGTCACTCATTTCTGTCGGTGTGTCTGTCTGTCCGCTAATTTCTTGACCCATCTATAACTCGGGAAGTACCGTTCGGATTTTGAAGAGTAGAGCTATGAGCAAAAAACGAAAGATACGCTATAAAGTTACGTAATATCACTACATAATTAGCTCGATGATCTGTTTGGCCAATCCATATGGTTACTTTATAAGCATTTGCTCTTTTTAGCTAAACTATTTTCAGTTAAATGCGATGTCCAGTTATACGAAAATCGAACCTTAATTTTGGCATTTCAAGTAAATCACCCTACATATTTATTACGCTTTTGGTAGTGAACATGGGATATATTGATGATTTTCTGGACTAATCTTGGGCTCTTTTGTCCATTTACGACTGTCGGATAACCGCTTCCAAGATATTGAGCGAACAAAACTGTCTAAAACAAAATTTTTTATTAACAAAAACACATGGAGGTTTATACCCTACATCACCTACAAGATACGTAGGTACGAATTTAAGTCGCCATTTTTTTGTCATAGACTTCCAAAATCTTTCAATACATTTGAATTCGTACATATGCATTTAATAGAATAGAGTTGATTGAATTGAATTACTTCTCTACCAGACAGCAAAATGTATTTTATCAACAAATTTTTTTTGGCAAGATAACTGTTGCGCGTGTAATTCCGTTTTGAAGTGCCTTCTAACTTATACATATTAGGAGGAGTCAAGATTTTAAGTGGAAAACAAGAAATTTGCTCTCTGGCAAAGCAGATAGGGATAGGTGTTCCCGGATTTATGTTGTTTATGCAATAAACGTTGATTACGTGGTTTTTCCAAGGGAAACGAATCTATTGATTTGCGAGGTGTATACCTATAATACGCATCTGCCTTTTTAATGAAGCGCTTTCAGTAAAGAAAAGCATCTTGGCAAAATAGACTTCGAGGTTTTTGAAATGACTGTTTCGATTGTTCTGGTGTCACACCCATAAGTTTCAGTATGGTTGCTAGTGAGTTTTTAACAGAAACATACGAAAATCGTTTGATAGGTCGACAAGAACGTGTCTTTTGGCTTGCTTGACTTCTGGAAACAGCTCCCTTAGGTTGTTCCTTATGAGACCATTTAAGGAATAAGATATCGAGATGCGGTTTTCGCATTCTTGTTTAGACATCATTTAGCTACTGTTTCATAAAAATTATAGCAATGCATTTAATTTTGAGAATATTTTATCCGAATTGAGGTCAACTTTTTGAGTAATCGATCGCTGCATTTCTACATGGAACACACTGTATGTTCATGTATATCATATCCAACCTACTTTGAACTGTAAGAAGGAACCATGTGCATACGGCGGCCCAGTGCAAGTAATTATTGGCGAAACACCTCCACCATCCTAGAACGCACACGGCTATGTTGATCGACATGCAACATACTGACCATATTATCACGTCGGCGTATTTCCTAGGATCTATTTGGTAATTGTTGAAGACTGTCCAAACCAGGATCAGTGCGATCTGAAATCAAACATAACAACCCTGTTAGGAAATTCGAAAATCGAACACACAAGAATAAACGATACCCAAAATTTAAGTTTCAGACTAAACTAATGACAAGTATGACAAACCATACTGGGTGTAATGGGCATAGTTTACTTATTTTCTCTTTATTATTGATTAAAGAAACGTAATCGATCAAATGTCATTATTTGAAAAACAAAATAGCTCACCAGCATACTACGACTAGTACCAAATAATTTCGTTATACCACAAGTGGTTAAATCTATATAAATATTTTTTTTCTAAAAAAAAAGGAATTACATATCATTTTTTTTAAATCTCCAGTACGAACCCAACTGGTAGCAATTTTAAAAAATATTCTACATAAAACATGCCTATTGGTGCTTAGTAGGTGCATGTCAAATTTAAAATAATAATCCGGCTTTATTTATACAAAGTATAAAAAGGCGAAGTGTCGCTATAAGGCGTTTTTCAACTTAACCCAATTCCATGAAAATATCTAAAGTGTATCTAACGAAGCTACAAAGTAATCGTAAACAGTGGTTGATTCGTGATCAACGCGTGATCGGTAGCCATGGCGCTCTGTCGGCCTCTTCCTGATTGGCTTGTAGCGACGAGCCTCCAGACAAAGTCGCACGGTTGCCACACTCGGCGAGTTTTCGCCAGAGTGGTTGATCACATTCGCATGGATCACAAATCAATCTGTTGGTGCAATACGTGCAATAACTGTTGTAAAGGACATTATATAACAATAAATGGCATCACAAAGGTATATTCCAATTTGATCTGCAGCAAATTATGAACGGCATATACGGAGATGAGAAAACAAGCTCAAAAAGGTGAAGAAAATTTTTGTGCAATCTTTATAGTTAAATTTTTCCTAAGAGATAGCATCAGTGAGGGAATTTTTTTCTATTGTCTTATTTTTCACATTAATGCGATGTCGAGGTATGTGGCCCTATCGCAATTGAAAATAAGGTTTCCATAACCATAACAGCTCCCTACCCTTCCCCCCTATAAGAATATCGATTTGTAGCCTCACATTTCAAGGTTAGACTTCTTGTAATGTTTCTGTTCAACATTCGGCGATTTCTGACAATTTTCCCAATAAAAGATGATCATTGTGACATTAAGCCTGGCACCGCTGCATAGTAGAGGGAACTCTCAGCGTCACGTTGATGGTTCGTCACCACGCACAGGATTGTAATCAGTTACGGATACCCGTTTATGAGCGCGAACGTTTTATGCACGTCTTGACTTGATTTTTCTTGCGGAAATTTAATATTAGTCTAAAATGTCTGACACAGATACAGCTGATGAAGTGGTTGAAATCAGCTTAACGCCACCCAGAAAAAGGGCTAAAAAGCTTCATCTTAGCGCAGGTGAAAAACAAATTATTCTAAATATCTACAAGAACCAGATGCAAGAGAATAGTGGATTGGCTATAGAAAATATCGTATGTAAGGTTGCTGAAATTTCTGGAGTAGGTCGATCAAGTGTTTACAAAATCTTGAAGGAATATAGACAAAATCACTCACTATCTGAGCCAAAAACATATCCAGCGAGAAAAAAAATCATCGAAAAAATAGATGACTTTGACAAAAGTGCCATTAGAAGAAAAGTACATCACTTTTTCTTCAGGAATGAAATACCTACAATAGATAAAATATTGAAGCAAGTGAATGATGATGAGGACCTGCCAAATTTTAAAAGATCTACGTTCCATAAGCTGTTGAAAGAACTAGACTTTCGATTTTTGAAAAGAGGAAGGAATAGTTTATTGATAGAAAAGGAGGAAATTGTTATCTGGAGGAGAGAATACCTTAGAAAAATTAGGCAATTCCGCGCTGAAGGAAGAAAAATTTATTATTTAGACGAAACATGGGTGAACGCGGGGCATACGCAGGGAAAGGTTTGGGTAGACAGATCTGTGAGGTCCTCAAGGCAGGCTTTTTTAGATGGCCTTTCGACGGGATTGAAAAATCCTGCAGGTAAGTTTCGAAGTATATGAACTTTTTTGGATGCAGATAATTCATTTTCTGATCGAATCAATGATTGGGAAGCTCCGAACTCAGTTTTGCTATCTCATCCAAGTTTCTGAGTATTTCCTTCACCCAAAAACTAATCTAAGACCCTATCCTACACTAACGTAAAAGGAGTAAGTTGCTTAATTTCGTCATTTAGTGCGCTCGCTGAGAAGTAAAATAACTAATTACTTTCAGGCAAGGGAAAACGCCTGATCATTTGCCACATAGGTAGCCTAGATGGATTTGTTCCTGAAGCATTGTGGGCATTTGAATCCAAAAAAACTGGAGACTATCACGAAGAAATGGATGGTTACTCATTTGAAAATTGGTTCAAAAAAATTTTGCCGACACTTGATGATAACGCAATTATTGTGATGGATAATGCCCCGTACCACTCTAGAAAATTGGAAAAAATTCCAACAATGGCCACCAAAAAGGCAAACATTCAACAGTGGCTTGTCTCAAAGAAGATCGACTTCGACCAAACAATGGTCAAAGCTGAGCTGATAAATATAGTCAAGCGACATAAGTATAAATATGATTTAAAAATTGTTGACGAAATGGCCAAAAACCAAAATAAAACGAATCTCAGGCTGCCTCCCTATCACTGCGAACTGAATCCTATCGAGTTGATCTGGGCCGACATCAAGTAATACGTGGCATCAAATAACAACACTTTTAAGTTTTCTGACCTTAAAAAACTGATTGATGTTGCTGTCGATAGAATTACGCCAGCAAAATGGAGAACATGTATTGACCATGTCCAAGAGAAGGTTGAAACCAAAATGTGGGATATGGACAATATCATTGACACCCAAGTTGAACCCCTTATAATTGACATCAACAATTCTGATGATTCAAGCTCCTTGGAATACAGCATATAAATCGATTGATACCATTAAGACTGGCGGTTTAACGGGCTTTTTGGCAAGACAGGTAAGTTCATTATAGACTGCAATCAAAGTGTAAGTTTCTAGTTATTAATGTGGAAATTCCAAATTTATAATTACACAAAATTAGGGTTAATTTAGGAGTTCCAAAGCATAATAGTGCCATTTTGACCTTCTTCCTATTTCTCATGTAAATTTTAATAGCAATCAAACTAACAAACTTTATGGAGTCTGTAATAAACTTTTGTACTACTACTACTACTACGTCTGTAGTTTCTATTTGCTCAAAAAAATTTGCTCTGCATTGTGAATAGAAGGTTGATTTGTAAATATTATTGGGTATATATGTAAGTTAATAATAAAATATGAACAATTTCAATTGAGATGGTCCACAAGTTTTTTTCGTGTGCTTTTTGGTAACATTTTGCTGAAATGGTGAATACAGAACTTTTTGCACTGATTCCTAATGTCGAAATATGATTAGAAAGGCGTGGTATATTGTTGATAATTTACTATGCTTTTGATAGAATTTACAGCAACACATATCTTGTACGACATTTTTTGATAGATCAGTCACAATAGCTTGATACGGCCCTGTAGCGTCTCCTACGGTTAAGTTCTTGATCACGTGCAATACGGGTGTATATGTTTGATTTTACTTTGTTTCTTCGATGGATACAGTTTAGATCAGTATTAAAGTTATGACGAGAAGACGAATTTTTCTTAAAATTTTAACACCCTGTAGCTCAAAAGTTACGAGGTTTAGGATAAATGTTCATATACACTTTTCATACTAAAATGAGCTGAGGAATCATATTCTGTATTTTTAGCCATAAATTAAATTATACCCGATATACAGGGCGTTTCAGAAAGACGTGCCAATATTTCTAGGCTACGAAGTACATCCAAAACTAACGAAAAAAAGTTCCTTTAAATATGGGTCCAAAGATGTTCCTCTACCGAGATATAGGGTGATAAAGTTTTATTTACGACACTGAAAAAAATATATGTATATCTGGCGGGGCGAGTCGAGATACTAAGTTAAGAGTTCAGGCCTCCAGTGAACACATCACCAGCAATAATTACACACAGAGTTTCTCGGCCCAACCTAAACCAGGGTCGTCGAAACTGGGGTACCTGAACACCTAATAGGAAATATTTTCTACGTCACTGATTTTTAGGGGGAAAAAGTGCATTTCAATCGATTTTCCATAAATTTTGTCCCCTGAGGAATTTTTGTCAGATTACTCATTTTGGAGATATTTAAGTTTGAACATTTGAGGTAAAATCCTAAAATATTCTGATGAAAACGTTTAGCCTCCTCTATACTGAGAACACTGCAAGGCTTGATATTAAAAACACTATATAGCTTGTGAAGAAAGCACCTAATTACATCTTTAATTGACTAATATTCGTGTCTTATCCTCAATCAGTAGCGTAGAAGCTTATCATCCATTGGTACACTTCTCCTGGTATTATCGGTGTTAGATTCTTCTGTCTTAAATCATAACTATTAATTATGGAACTAATCAATTTGAGTAAAATTCTTAATATGTTACTTCTCAAAATCAGTATTTCCGATTAAGTGAGCTCAACAAAGAAGATATCAACCTCGGACATTAAGTACGAGAAGGAGAATATCCCTTAGATACTTAGCATCCCAGTACATCGTTGGCTGTTACCAAAGTCATTATGCTGCCGTCAAAAAAAAAAAAATAAAAAATGAAATGAACTCTAGCTAATAAACTCTGTATGTTTGTTTTTGTAGAGCGCTAGTGAATACAATGAGTCTTAAGTCGAGCTGTTTATCTATTTCTTCTACCAAAATTAATCAAAATCAGCTTCTTCACATGCTTCACCTAAATACCTTCAAAACGAGTGATCTAACAAAAAATTCTTGAAAAAAATGTATGGAAAGTTTAACGGTATTTTATAAAACGTACATCTTTCCTCCCAAAGGCCAGTGGCGTAGAAAATATTTCCTAATAGAGGCCCAGGTACCCCAGTTTGTACCTCAGGAGCTTAGTTTGGGCCAGGACTCTATGTATTTATTGATGATGATGTGCTTACTGGAAGTCTA